AACGTTTAGGGTTTAGGGTTTTGAGCTTAGGGATGTAATGTTCAGGGTTAAGGGTTTTGAGCTCAGGGATGTAACGTTTGGGGTCAAGGGTTTAGGGCTTAGAGATGTAATGTTTAGGTCTAAGGGTTTAGGGCTGAGGGGGATGTAATGTTGAGGCTTATGGGTTTAAGGCTTAGGGACGTAAAGTTTAGGGTTACGGGTTTTGAGCGCGAGGGATGTAATGTTGAGGGATATGGGTTTAGGGCCTGAGGGATATAACGTTGAGGGTTAAGGGTTTTGAGCCCTACACCCTAAACCCTAAAACCCTAAGTCCTAAACCCTCAACCCTAAACCGTGAGCATTCTCAGCCAGGGAACGGCGGTGCAACTCCATGCCGACTGCCAGGCTTGGAGAGTCAGCCATGGCTGGGGCAAAAACTTCAGAGGGGAGCACTTTAAGGCGCTGGGCCTTCGAGGGTTGGGGCTTTTAGGGTTTAGGGTTTAGGTTTAGGGTTTAGGGTTTAGGGTTTAGTTCTTGCCCGATTGAGGTTCTCCTAGCTGGGCTCGGGGGGGTGTTCTCGTCCTGGGGGGCTCTCGAGAGCTATCAACGCTGCGCAGGGCGAACATCAGTTGCAGAGTTGTGGTGTGCCTTCTCTCCGCGGAACCTGCACGACAGCCTCCAAAGTGCGTCAATTTCAAACCCCATGCACACCAACCGCGTCCCCACAAAGCCGCACATGCCAGTAGTACTGCAGCCAGAAAGATCACCGCAGCAGCGCATGCTGCTGCTACTGCACCCAAAATATACACGATGGGGACGCCTCCACTACGAGCCTGAAAGCCTTCCCCTTAAACCCTAAACCTGAAACCCGAAATTCTAAACCCGAAACCCGAAACTCTAAACTCTACGCGTACACCCTAAACCCTCCACTTCGAACAGCCGACACAAAAGCCCTAGGCCTATAGGCACTCTTCTAAGGAAGCCAGGGAGCTGGAATCGGGTCGTCCAAGATCGCCTCCATCTCCTCACGAGGGCTCGGTGCTTAGGGTTTAACGGTTTACGGCTTAGGGGTTTAGGGGTTTAGGGCTTCGGGGTTTAGGGGTTGAGGGTTTAGGGTTTAGGGTAGGGTCAGGCCTTCCATAAACCAGAAACTACCTGCAAAAGCCCTTTCCTCCGCGAAGGCTGCGCCGCGCTCGCCCATCTGCGTCAGCGCCTTGACCCCGACTTGCAGGTGCTGGATCCAAACCCTAAGCCCAAGACCCTCAACCCCAAAACGTCTAGCCTAAGCCCCTAAACACTGGACCCTGCTTGGCTGGGCCTGCATTGCGGCCACGCGCAACCTCAGAGGACGGCTTTAAGGGCTCAGGGGTTCAGGGGTTTAGGGTTCAGGCGCTTAGGGCGGGTGTAGGATTTCGATGTTAGGGTTGGGCTTTGGGACTTTGAGGTTTCGGACTCCTCGCGCGGGCGTGGGAGACGTTGTGTCGGACCGGGCTTGAGAAACCTCCAGAAACGTCAATCCATCGGCTTGTGGTCACACTGCGTCCGGCTGGGGCCGTAGACATTGCAACTCAAGGAACACTGGTAAGCCTTATAGAAGATTTTCGGAACCCTTTGTAGAAAGTGGAGCCCTTACAGAATTTCTATCGAAGCCCTTATCGTACCTCACCCTAGACCGTTATAGAAACCCTAAACCCTAAACCCTTATAGAGGAGCTCTTCCAGGAAGCCCAGAGCCGGAACGGCAGGGGGATCAGTCTCCAGACTTCCGGAGACTGGAGTCGATCTCAAGCGGCTTAAAGGGTTTAGGGTTTAGGGTTTAGGGTTCAGGGTTGGGGGTTTAGGGTTTGGGGTTTCTTATGGGACTCTTATGGGGCTATCGGTTTTCTTAGGGGTTCTTGTAGCTACAGCGTTTATGTAGAGTTTATGCAGCTAAGGGTGTTTAGAGGAGTCTGCAGGGTGTTGCAGGGTTCCATCTGACTTTATAGGGCCCATGTTGGCTTAAGGTCCCTTCCAAAACTCCAAAAACCCCGAAACATTAAAAAACGCCTCAAACGCCAAACTCCTCACGAAATCCTAAAACCCTTCAAAGCCTATCACAAAACTTTTAAGCTCATAGAAGATCAAAAGAAGCAGACTACCCAACCCTCTACCCTGCACCTTCAACCCGACAAAATCCCTCCAACCCTAAACCCCGGACTGTAACCCCCAACGGTTTAGGGGTTTCGGGTTTAGGGTATAGGGTTTAGGGTTAGGGTTTAGGGTTTAGGGTTTAGGGTTACCCTCTTTAAAAAGACCTCCGAGCCCCGCGGCTTGTCTTCTCCCCCCATGGTGAGGCGGCAAACCTCACGCAATGGGTGCCCAACGCAATCTCGGCTTTGTCTTAGGGTTCAGGGTTTAGGGTTCAGGGTTTAGGGTTTAGGGTTTAGGCGTTTAGAAAGTCTGAAAGTTCATGGCTTAGAACCAAAAAACGAGTAAAAGGAAGTAGGGTTTAGGGTTTAGGGTTCAGGGTTTAGGAATTAGGGTTTAGGATTCAGAAACGACTGAAAGTTTCTATGGAACTGCAGAAGAGTTCTCTGCGACATGGACTTTGCATCGTGTGTGACGAGGTTTTTCACACGTCCAGGTGCTTAATTGTGTGTGCTTAAATCGTTTCAGCGGGTCTCTACATTGCTTCTATTGTGCTTTATGGCGCGTCAAAGGGTTGATAGTGCTGCAACTGTTGTGTTCTAGTGTTGTTTACGGCATTTTATACTAGTTGCATGAGGTCCTTTTGGGCTTTACAGGGGCTATATGATTTATGAGGCCTGTGTATTGCTGTTTGTCGCGCTTGACGAAGAATATAGGGTTTAGACAGACCTCGACTTGTGAGGAAAGCTCCAACCCGCCTGAAAGCGAAAACGAGACAGATTGGCAAATTGCAAACCTGCCCAGCCTCCGCAGCGAAACGACTTCCTGCCGCCCCAAAGCGAGGAAGGGCTTCCAAAGCGGCCACCTGCTTAATTGTTAGGGTTTAGGGTTTAGGGTTCAGGGTTCAGGGTTTAGGAGCTTAGGGTTTAGGGTTCAGGGTTCAGGGCTTAGGGTTTAGGAGCCATCCTTGGGTCCCCTTTCTAAGACCTCCGGGGCACCTACGAAGGCCCTGCGATGTGAGGGGTTGCCCCTTTTTTGGGGCGTTGAGATCCAATCCGGCCGAGGCTTCAGTGTTCCTAGGGGTTCCTAGGTAAGAAAGGGGCCTTGATAATTAGTATTAGGTTTTGGGGTATATTATACTATAGTTATAATAAGGAACACCCAATAGTACAGGTAATTATTAAGGCCCCTATATTATTGAGGGTTCCCGTGATGACAAACGAACCCGAAATGCCACGTGAGTTGGGCGTCCGTTGCGTGTGGTTCTGATTTTGAGGACGCGCGCCGGGGTCCTATATCCTTCACCGTCACTTGATGGTTTACGTGCAGTTTTAAGTTTGAACTAGTTTATCTGGGATTACAAGGATGTAATCGTTACTTATAACCCTACTTACCAAGTTCTCTGTGATCCTACAAGTAGCCTTAGCCCCAAACTGACCTTATCACGCCAAGCCCCCAAAACACCCCGAACTCGAAGAAAAAGACATGGTACCTCCCATCGACAACCCGTACGGAAACAATAAACCTAACGTAAACAAACCCTTCTAGAACCGCAAAAAAAACAACTTGAAACCCCCCTGCTCAAACTATCCACCGCCCCGCAGAAAATGCCGATAAACCGTAACTAAAACTATAGGGGGTTTCATGATCAGGATAAGTTGGAATGAGGCCCGAAGAAGTAGCATTACTACCTAGTATAAGGGCCTTAATCATTAGAATGAGGAGTTAGGGCCAGTTAGGGCCCTTTATTGTATAATCATAGCAAGGAACCCCCAAAAAAATATAGGTAATTACTGGGGCCCCTATATTAATTCAAGCTTCTATTGTAATGAGCCCTAAACCTCCAAACCCTGAACCCTAAACCCTGAACCCTAAAACCCTGAACCCTAAAACCCTAAACCCTAAAACCCTAAATGCTAAAACCCTAAAACCCTAAACGCTAAGACCCCAAAACCCTAAACCCTGAAACCCTAAAACCCTAACACCCTAAACCCTAAACCCTATATTATTCGAGCTTTACTATATTGAGCCCAAAGACTCCACACCCTAAACCCTATATTATTCAAGCTTCTACTACAACGAGCCCTAAAATTCCCGGGTCTTCTGAGCTTGGCTCCTCTAGACTTTGAGGTAACCAGGGAGAACAAAGTATAGACTTTATTTTCAGGATGGTTCCCTTAAGGAACAGGTCCCCCAAAACAGTATTCAAGCATGGTACTCCAGAACCCAATATATTCCCTAAACCCTAAACCCTAAACTAGAAGGGGCTTATTATTGTGGTTTAAGGTATATTCCTTAATTAAGGGGTATTGGGCTCTCTGGGTCCACTCCAGAACCCAGGCTCCTGCACGGGAAGCAGCTTGTCCTCTAGGAGCTGGCTGACGGGAAGGGCGAAGTCCTGGGCTCATGGCAGCGATGGGTTTAGGGCTCAGGGTGCAGGGGTTTAGGGTTTAGGGTTAAGGGTTTAGGGCTTGGGGTTTAGGGTTTAGGGTTTAGGGTTTAGGGCTTAGGGTTGAGGGTTTGGGGTTTAGGGTTGAGGGATTAGGG